TTAGACTCGTCAGTCGAGAGGAAATAGCCATTGAAAACCCGAAAACAATTGCTTGTTAACCTGCGTCACAATCGGAATTTTATTCGTAAATACCGGACGAGTTACCGGACGGACTTGAAAGAAAAGGCCGGATTGAACGCAAGCTATTGCCTGTTTGCCACACTATATCTTGTTTCCAGGGTTATTTTTAAATTTCTTGAAAGCCGTTCCTTAGACAGGACTAGGTCCTGACTGTGAATCTGTTCTTCAATACTAAATCGCTGAATCTTCTTTTTTTTCTTTTCCAGGAGTAAATGAAATAGAATAAACAAAAGAATGCTCCGATTACTTCACTTTCTCCCTTTGGGAGTATCATAGTGGGAAATGAGTGGGCTGGCAGTCCACTTCACGACCTTCCCCTACCCTCCCCCGTTTGAGGGCTTACTTTGTCATGATGCATGCATGGTAAAAATAATGAATCCAGAAGGTTGGCGTATCGAGGAGACTATTTGAAGGCCCTGTTCCACCTATGGGCATTTTGCAATGATGCATAAAACGCAGTAAAAGTATATTCATAGTGGAAGTTGTAATAAATTATATTCATTTGTCTCCCGATCGAGAGTCTTTGGTAGAAGGACTACGATGTTTTGACTGTAAACTACTAGTCTTTAACTGATGATTGTATAGACTGGACGGTGTGCCTGTTATATGCCGCTCGTCGTATCATCTGTGACCAGTGTGAGCAGTATAATATAACAGACACGTCATTCAGTCTTCACCATCGCCTCATGAAGACTAATAGTTTGCATGCATGCAGTCAAACTTCGCGGTCCTTCTAACAAATGACCCTCGATCGTGAGAGAAATAAATGAGTATCATTTATTATAAGTCAAGAGGATGGTTAGTCTTGAAAAGGAATTTAAGGAGCGTTATGTTGACTGTTTAAAGATTCTCCCTTCTTCCAATTGGTATCTCACGCTGTTATGCAATATGTCAAAAGACGTGGGCTTATCGAGAACGACAATGCACGGGAATATCCCTTTGGACCATTCAAAGACCTATTCTCCATATTCCGGTTTTGCTAAGCCAGTTTTTTTTTTTTTGTCAGAGATAATGCAATCAACTGCAATTATATGAGGTTTCCTCATCATGCTAATTTCTGATGGGAAATGAACATCAAGTCTTTATAGACTAACGACATAATATACGCTATCCAAGTTGTAAATATTGAAGGTGTGATGCTAAATGTAAAGATTAGCCACTTAAAAATAAATGTATCTGTTAGGATTTTTACTTTGATTGTCGTCGTTGTGGTTGTCTTTTGTTTGTGTATGTTTATGCTTATATGTTTTTATTTCGGGGTTTTTTTCTTTTTTTTCATTTTATAATTTATTGATTTTTTTAAAGAAGCTAGACGAGGGAATTGACCAGGTGTAATTAACCAATTAATCATAAAAAAACAAGCACTTCAGTCTATTTATTTAATTATTCATCTTATTTATTTATCAGCTTTACGACTGGTTATGGGAAAATACAAACAAACAAAACTAGATACAAAATCCTCTTCATCGACCACAGACTCTCTTGGATTCGTCATATCGACGAAATTTCTAAAAAGTATCAAGAAGAGTGAGACCGTTTATCTTCACGAAAACTGCAGTTACGATTTACAAAGCTTTAATCCTTCCGCACATGGACTATTGTTGCCAGGTGTGGGATGGACTAAGTGGCTATTTATCGGACAAACTACAAAAACTGCAAAATCGTGCCGCCAGAGTGATCACCAAAAGTAACTATGAAACTAGGTCTGCTACCCTCCTTGATTTTTTACAATGGGATAATCTTCATACCCGCCGCAAAAAGCTTAAAGCAATAACGATGAATAAATCCCATAAACAAGCCAACCCCGGCGTATTTGAATGAATTGTTCCTCCCACATATATGAGTTGCGTAATCATGAAGGCAAACTGTCCTACCCGAAACGCGCATCAATTACCTAAAACGATCTTTCAGCTATAGTGGTGCCGATTACCCCAAGAAGTAAGAAATGCTGTTTCATCAGCTGAATTTAAGAGCAAACTGAGCGACGTTCATTATAACTCTTGGGATTCGCACACGGCAATCTTGTAAAACCTTGATATTAGACTTATGATTTTCCGTGTTTAAATAAAGTTATTCATTCAGATAAGATAATAATGATAATAATTGCTACTATTACTACTGCTGCTGCTACTGCTGCTGCTACTACTGCCATAATTTACTGCTGCTGCTGCTACTACTGCCATAATTTACTGCTACTGCTGCTGCTGCTACTACTGCCATAATTTACTGCTGCTGCTGCTACTACTGCCATAATGTACTGCTTCTGCTGCTACTCCTGCTGCTACTGCTACTACTACTAATAATAATGTACTGCCGGCTGCTACTGCTGCTGCTCCTCGCTCCTGCTAATATTACTACTACTTATCAAAAGTTTTTTTTTAGATTTAAATTTCCTTAGTATTTCATTTAATTTTTTTTTTTCTTTTTTTCTTTTTTAATTTCCGCATAGAAAAATTTTGGGCCTTCCGATTCGTATTACATATCCCACTGCTCATAAATAATCGATTTACCTTTCTCCTTAAATAATTAAAACTTTTGACAACAATTCCTTTCATGAAGAAAAAGCAAGAAATTTTTTAAAAATTATATTATATTTTATATGATATTTATATACGATTGACGTCACACTTAAAAGCTCTCTGTCTGTAATTTTGTCAGCCATTGTTTTGTGAGAATTTGACGAATTGAAAAACGTTTTATTTTGATAGATATATAGTTTCTCATTAAAATATTAAAATGAGGATGAGTACACACACACAAAACTGCGTATAAGGGTTGCGCCCGAGTATTAACTTAAATAGCATCTGCGATYCTTTTTCACATTCCAAATTCTCTCCAAGACCAAAGGAAAGACAACTGCAGAAAATACTTTTTCTTCTGAAGGTAGTTTAACTAACTGCTTATGAATATATATATAAGGGTTTGGACTTTTGGGGTAATAGAAAATCAATCAGGAAAACCTGCTTGGGAACAGGGCTATATATCATCATTCAAAATTAGGTGACATTGAGACGTCATTGAAAATACGTTCCCAACTTACAAATACTAGCTTGTCGATCTGGCTTCCATGGATAATTGGGGTTCTTTTAGGGGAAAACATAGAGAACCAGCTTAAAACCGATCAACAACAACAACAAACACGCTTTAGTAGCCGGTTGTAAATAGGCCACCTACGAGATATTGAAACATGGCGGCTCTCCTGAATGAAATGTTCATACCTGCATTTAATTAAAACTCTAAAGGATARGTAGATGAAGTGCTGTGGATTTAATTAAAAATTGATTATATTGTTCCTTGTCAAGTAGACAGCATTGAAGCCTCTCGACCCTAACGA